ACCAGACCAGAGACAGCCATTGAGACTGGCTGCTAGCCATATTAACTTGGATGGGCCAGTGGTTCAGAAGTAGCTAATGATTTCTCGTTCTTGTTTTTTTCTATTATTATTATTATTTTATTATTATTATTATATATTATTATTATTATTATTATTATTATTATTATTATTATTCTTTCTTTGGATTCACTGCCAGTCACCTGGACCTCATATTCAGGAAGTTGATAACAAGCAAGAAGTTAATTTATTGCCAGAAGAAGTTCAAGAACATACATTTCAATGTTTTATCTGCAGAATTGGTGTATGAGAACTTTATAGATTCTTTGAATAGTTACACTTTTAAGTGTTTTCATTTTCTTCTTCAGTGAAACCAGTTGTGATATGTTTAAAAATGTCATTTTTTCTGGGGCAGATTTTCTAACTATGAATCTAGTATTTCATGCCTTTCATTAAAGCACCAGCAACATCATCATCTATGTTACTTCTTGTGTCATCTATTTTGTCAGTGATTTGTATATTATTACTAATCTTACTGTAAGTACCAATCTATTGGTTATTCTGAAACTTGTTGAAAGGGCTGCAACATTTTAGATAGTTTATCCATTTTTCCTCATCCATAACCAGTTGTACCTTATGCTACAGTGATGGTGCAGTGACAGACAGCAAAGAGGGGGCAGAGGATGCAACAGAAGACCCAGCCATGAAAGTACTTGGTCAGCTTTCCACCAAATTCTGCCTCAATCTTTGCTCTTCAGTTATCAATCATCTCCAGGCTGGTAAGCTGGTTGTTAGGGGAGCATTGTTTTCCATTATTTTAAAACTAAAGGAAAGTGAATAATAATGGGTGATAGAAATTTGCCATCAATTAATAATGTCCTTGGCTTCCCAGGAGGTGCAGGTGGGGAGTATGTAGAGCTGTTGGCACAGGTGAGTGGTATACAGCCCAGTGCTGATGCCAGCCAGGGTGCCAGGGCTGGCAGTGAGGACTCTAGTCAGCTGGATTTAGCAGTAGATGCCCTGAACAAGAAGGCACCAGACACTATCAACCTGAACAAGGAAGACATTGCCAAACTCCAAAAAGACGATGCCTTTGTGGGCAAGAAAACAGAGGCAAGAGGCTCCATAGGTGGGTCCTCCCAGAAGCAGAAGGGGGGAAAGGCAGCAAAGGAACCTGAGAAGGACTGTGTGCTTTTCACGTGTGGCCATCACTTCACAAACAAGGATTTCAAGGTTAGGTCCTTGTTTTTTGGTGAACTTTACTGGAATACTCTAGGAGTTTACTTCCATGTTTTGGGTTATATATGTGAGCTCTATTTTTAATTTCATTTTATTTAAAGGGACCTGATTTTTTTATTACTTGCCATAGATTTTGATATGTGACAACAATACAAAAGATTTTTTTTGTTCTCTTTTTTTTTATTATCAAAACTTCTTTCATTATTTCAGACTCGTGTATTACCTCAAATGGAGACATCTGTGATGTCGGTTCCTGGACTTCTGGGGAAGACAGCTAGAGTTCTTTTAGACCAGTACCATAGCGACCAACCTGAGATGGCCTGCCCACATTGTGTGCTTGCTCATCTCACAATTAAGCTAACAAAGCACAAGCAAACCAACTAAGGGATTGATAATCAGGACTGCTGTCTGAAGAGTGTGATGACTTTTTTTATATTTCATATATTACAATGTTTTTTCTCTCCTCTTAGTGAGACTGTGGTTAGAAATACCTGTATTGTTTCTATGAGAGGGAAAAGGTAGAGGTGGGGGGTCATCAGAGGGGTTTTAGATGACATATCGAGAGTATTTTGATTACAGTATAGATTATGGATTTTTTATTATTTGTTTATTTTTTATTTTATTTTTTTTTCTTCCTTTTTTTTTTTGAGGACTTATTTTGGCAACACTCAAAGCACAAGGGCAAAAAACAATTTAGGCAGGATTAGTCATGGTCACAAGTGCTACTTAATGTGAGGTAGTTTAGCCTCTGGAAATAGATTGTTTATCTTCAAATTATTGTTTTAAGGAAAGGATTTATCTGACTAGGATAATGTCTGTAGTGACAATTGTGTGTGGTGTGTTCAGATACCAGATTTTTCTATAAACTTCAAGCTAGAGCTGAGTGTTTTTAACAGTTTATATATATAGGTAATATATATATATATAAAGAGTCTGGAAATGCCATGGTCAACATCCAGACTTGGAAAGTTGTGATGTGTACTGCACTGTGAGACGAGTCACAGAGTCACGGGTGCAACCACAAAAATTCCTTGGTAATTCATAAATATACAGTTAACAAAGTGAAATAAATTTGATATAAAGAACTTGAAGATCAAATTGGTAAAGGAAAACTTTCTGTTGACAGTGAGGACAATGGGTTAAGGGGAGATTTTTATGTATATATATCTTTTACATCTCAAGATATCACTCACTTTGTAATGCACTTTTACAAATTCATAAACAGGCAAGTAGACACATTCAGACATACATGGACATGCAAGCA